TTGATGCCTCTAGTCTGTTGAGGGTTTTTTGTTTTATCATGAAAGGATGTTAGATTTTATCAAAGTTTTTCCATGTCTAATGAGATGATCATATGGTTTTTGTTTTCAATTCTGTTTATGAGGTGAATCACATTTATTGATCTGTGTATGTTGAGCCAACAATGCATCACAGGAATGAAGCCTACTTGATCATGGTGAATTAACTTTTTGATGTGGTATTGGATTTGGTTGCTAGTATTTTGTTGAGGATTTTTGCGTCTACGTTTATTAGAAATACTGGCTCGTAGTTTTCTTGTTTCCTTATGTTTTTGCCAGGTTTTGGTATCAAGGTGGTGCTGTTTTCATAGAATGTGTTAGGAGGGAGTCCCTCCTCCTCAATTATTTGGAATACTTTCAGGAGAATTTATAACAAGCCCTTCTTTGTACATCTGGGTAATTCAGCTGTGAATCCATCTGGTCCTGGGCTTTTTTTGATTGGTAGATTTCTTATTACTGTTTCAATATTGAAACTTAATATTGGTCTGTTTGGGGTTTCAATTTCTTCCTGATTCAATCTTGGGAGGTTGTGTGTTCCAAGAATTTATCAATTTCTTCTAGATTTTCTAGTTTATGTGAGTAGGGCTGTTCACAGAAGTCTCTGAGAATCTTTTGTATTTCTTTGGGATCAGTTGTAATGGCACCTTTATAGTTTCTGATTATGCTTATTCTAAACTTACTTCTAAACAGGCCTGAAAGGAGGCAGTATTAGCCTCAACTGCTAATACTGTTCAGTTAAAAAGCATTTTATTCTTTAATCAGTAGGTGCTTACTTTGAAAAGTAAATACTTGAGAAAAAAGTCTTTTTAAAATTATTCATACTTAAATGAAAAATATTTAATTAGATAATCACTTTTTTCCACTCTTAGTAGCTAATAAGTAGTTATATTGATGGGGAATGTGAGGAAGAGGGATAAAATAAATTGGGAGTCCTAAAATTTCCAGGAGAGGCCAGGTTGAGCTGGGCATCAGAGTGGAATTACTGTCACTTAAAGGGCATGGTGGGCACATTACAGTTTGTTCTGGCACTTCACATGGCAGTAGCCATTCCCTTGACAGTTTGGTAAGGCTCCCTAGTAACTGAATTTTGTCTAGCTTGTCCCAGTGGCACAGCAGGCAGAGCCAGGAGAAATACAGTACGATTGTATATGGTAAATGCAGAGATCAACTTCCTGATTACAAGGATGAGAAACACTGAAACCAGCTCCTTACAGAGAGGGAGTTTGTGGAATCTGCAACCTGAAAGAGGCTCTCTCATAGGAAAAGTTCTCTGATAGAAGGCGGCTTTGTGGAGTGTGTACACTTAACTGGAAGAAGTGTACACTTCTGGTTGAAGACAGTAGAGGAGAATGAGCTTTGCTTTGAATGAGAGGCAAAGGAGTTGTCTTTTTAAAAATTAAATATCATGAGTAAAGTATTCTTTTCTGTCCAAAGCAAAAAAAGACTCTATGACATTACAAATGGTTTTTATTCTGCAAGAGATCTAGTAAACAGACCATCTAGAGAAGCTTACAGTTCAGGTTTACAGATCTATTGATATTTCCTTTTTTTTTTTTTTTTTTTTTTTTTTTTTTTTTTTTTTGAGACGGAGTTTCGCTCTTGTTACCCAGGCTGGAGTGCAATGGCCCGATCTCGGCTCACCGCAACCTCCGCCTCCTGGGTTCAGGCAATTCTCCTGCCTCAGCCTCCTGTAGCTGAGATTACAGGCACGCGCCACCATGCCCAGCTAATTTTTTGTATTTTTAGTAGAGACAGGGTTTCACCATGTTGACCAGGATGGTCTTGATCTCTCGACCTCGTGATCCACCCGCCTCGGCCTCCCAAAGTGCTGGGATTACAAGCTTGAGCCACCGCGCCCGGCCGATATTTCCTTTTAATGAGCAACTTCTTGTAATTGTTTTAGATAACAAAAGTACTTCCAAATGGAAACTGGTAAAGAATAGGCTAATTTGGGGGAACTTCACACTCCTAAGATACACCTTTATGATTCCTCTAAACTACCAGGGTGCCCTCAACAGTTTTTAAGTATATAAAAATAGGGGAACAGAGAGAGATGTGGGTGGGGAGCCCATGAAAGCACAAACACCTGGATCTTGTTTACTTCGTTCACTGATGATTAGCCCACTGCCAGCAACATCCTTCTCTCCAGTTATTATCACAGCATCCTCTCCTTTACTTACTAAAATGTGAATGCCCACAACACACTCAGCAAAAAATTCAATTCAACTAATAATTTCACATCTTATCCTCATTTGAAAGCACATTATTATTGTACTTCACCACCAAGGCATGAATGTAACAATCCTGCACAATCTGCACATGTACCCCAGAACCTGAAGTACAATTAAAAAAATATTACTGTACTTCAGTTTCTACATCTGTAAAATGGTGTGCCGGAGTAGTTGAACAAACTAGATGATCTGTGAAGTCTCTTTCAATTCTAAAATTGTAAGAGGTCTCTCCAGGCTGACAGTGCTGCTTTTGGACTATGGAGTTAGATCCCGGCTCTCCCACTTTCCTAGTGAGGGACTTTCGGGAGGTTGCCTTTGGAAACAGCTTCCTCATGTCATTGCTATCATTACCACACTCACTTGGTGCAGTTTTTTGGCCAAGTTACTTGAGTCTGTTTCCTCATATATGAGGTGCTGTGAATGGGATTAAGAACACATAAAGATTAAGCATCCCTAATTTGAAATCCAAAATGCTCCAAAGTTTGAAGCACCTGACCCCAAGTGATGAACCGCAGTAAAAATTCAGGCATACAAGGCAGAGTTTATTCAGCATCTCCAGGAGGAAAAAAGACCCTTCCACTCCACTTGAGCTGCAATATATATTTTCTGTGCATGCCCAAATTCCTCCATGAAAGCACATCCATAAAATGTAATAAAATGACACGTGTAGGCTGGATGTGCCAATAGCAGTTTCCCCAAAATGCCCTACATGTGGTAAAGATCTATATGCATTACTCCCTGTATTTTCTTGCTTATTCTCTACTCTGTGGTGTAAAGATATTGTTGAAAAGTGTTCAAAAGCCCTGCAGATACCAGAAAAAGAGGAAGCATTTATGTTTATAGTATAGCACAGAAAGTCAAGCTGTTGGAGAAACTGGACAGTGCTGCAGATGTGAAACATCTTGATAGAAGAGTATGGTGTTAGAATGACCACCATATATGACCTGAAACAACAGAAGGATAAACTGTTGGAGTTCTAAGCTAAAAATGATGATTAAAAATTAGGGAAAAACAGAAAACCACTGCATAAAACTAATGATTTTGATCATGTATTGAAAGATTGGATCCATCAGCAATGCAGTGAACACTTGCCCCTTAAAATGTCATGTGATCATGTAAAATTGAAGGGAACTGTGAATATTCAATATATCTGGCTGCATTCACTTAAGAAGAGATACATTTTTTTTTTTTTTTACGATTCGAGGTGATAAAGCATCTACTGATCATAAAGCAGCAATGATTGATGAGCGTGCCAAAGTTATTGCTGATGAAAATCTGACACCAGAACAAGTCTATGTTTATAAAACATCACTGTTTTGTCTACTGCCCCAGGAAGACACTGACTACAGCTGATGAGATGACCCCTGTAGTAATTAAGGATGCCAAAGGCAGAATAACTGTGCTGGGATGTGCTAATGCAGCATGCACACACATTGTAAACTTGCTGTGACAGGCAAAAGTTTGTGTACCTCCTACTTTAAAGGAGTGGACTTCCTACCAGACCATTATGCAAATTAAAGTGCACAGATCACCAGGGACATATTTTCTGATTGGTTTTCCAACGTTTAGTACCAGAGGTTCATGCTCTCCACAGGGAAGCTGAACTGGATGATGACCACAATATTTTGTTATTCATGACAACTGTTCTATTCATCCGCCTGCTGAAATTCTCATAAAAAATGTTTATGCCATCTACTATCCCCAACATGTGACTATTAATTCAACCATGTGGCCAGGGTATCCTTAGATCAACAAAGAGTAAATATAAAAACACTTTCCTCAACAGTATTCTAGGAGCAGTGAAGACAGAGATGTGTGGGTGTGGAAGGTTTGCAAAACGAGTTTAGCATGAATGATGCCGTACATGCTGCTGCCAATGCTTGGAAGACAGTGACTAAAGATACAGTTTTGCATGCCTGCAATCTCTAGCCTGTGACTATGTGCTGTGATGATGATGAACAAAACAGTGACTTTGAGGGATTTCATATGTCAAGTTAGGACAAAATGGATGTCTGACCTCCTTATGTATGCAAAATAATATACCTTCAGAATTCATCAGTAGGCTGGGAGAAGTAGATATCCAAGAAGCTTTTTTTTTTTTTTTTTTTTTTTTTTTGAGACGGAGTTTCGCTCATTACCCAGGCTGGAGTGCAATGGTGCAATCTCGGCTCACCGCAACCTCCGCCTCCTGGGTTCAGGCAATTCTCCTGCCTCAGCCTCCTGAGTAGCTGGGATTACAGGCACGCGCCACCATGCCCAGCTAATTTTTTGTATTTTTAGTAGAGACGGGGTTTCACCATGTTGACCAGGATGGTCTTGATCTCTTGACCTCGTGATCCACCCGCCTTGGCCTCCCAAAGTGCTGGGATTACAGGCTTGAGCCACCGCGCCCGGCCCCAAGAAGCTTTTAACATTGACAATGAGCCTCCAGTTGTTCATTGACCAATGTTGAAATAGCTGAAATGGTTCTGGATCAAGATGATCACAGTAATAGCGATGATGAAGATGATGTCATTAACGCCAAAGAAAAGGTGCCTATAGAAGGCATATTTAAAATGTATGATGGATTATTGAAGGACTAGAGCAGTATACATTCATAATTGAACAAGAAATCATGTCAGTTTATAAAATGAAAGAGAAAATTCTAAGACAAAAACCATTGTTTATAAGGCAGATAACTCTGGAGGAAATTTTCTAAAAAGCCATTTAGCAGATTACCTAATCATCCCTAGAGCACTCACTTCCTGGTCCTTCAGGTGCTTCTAATGTTTCTTCTCACCTAAAAAAATAAAATGAAATACAGTGTACAGTGACCTTTTAATCAAAACACAGCATCATAGGTGGAGATGGCAAGCCTGCTGTTGCTTGTGGTTGCTGTTATAAATACAGGTATTCTGGTGATACTACTGTGCTGCTTAGTTATCCTGAACACATTATTTTACTGTATTAATGGCAGGTCTTATATTTTTGCTGTTAAGTATTTACATGTGGATAAGTATAAGAAAATGATGGCTCTTTGGTAGCAAATAAATTCAGAGTCAGGAATGCTGGTGATGCCAAACAACCACATATTTCCACATGAGTGGCTAAGATAGTGACACCTTTACTTTCTCATGGTTCAATGTATACTAACTTTGTTCATGCACAAAACTATTTAAAATACTGTATAAAATTACCTTTAGGCCATATATATATGGTGTATATGAAACATAAATGAATTTCTTGTTTGCACTGGGTCCTATCCCCAAAATATCCCAATTACGTATATCCAAGTATTTAGAAATCTGAAAAAATTTGAAATCTGAAACACTTCTGGTCCTAAGCATTTTGGATAAGGGATATTCAACATGTAAAACCTATTACAAATGTCCACATAATGCCTGATACTGTCTCTCATAGGAGAGCCTCTATAAAGTTAATGTCATCCTTTTTGCTTACTGTCTTCGGAGAGGTTCCTTATGTATTTCAAACTAATATCACATAGTTTCCCACTAAAACATGGGACAGGAGTTGAGAAAATAGTTAGGTTTATGCTTTGGAGTTAAATATAGTTCTTGCATTTCAACATTTTACTTTTCATTTTTTATTACCCATTATGATTAAAACCACCTGGCATATATGTTAGCTGTCAGGGCTCCCAAAGCCAATGTTCAAAATAAATACGTATTAACTTGACCAGAAACACCTGCTTTTATCAGAAATACAAATGGCTGGTTTAAATAGCCAGATAAATTTCTTAAGAGTCTGAAACTTTTTCTAAATATTTTAAATCCCTTGCCTATTAGCAATATAAAATGTTTGTATTACTAGCAATATAAAATGTTCTTCTAAAACTAGACTCATAGTTTTCCTTTTTTAAAGACAACAAATATTTATTGAACAACTATAATGGGAAAACAATGACAGTTAACATGCACATGAAGACCTCATTATGAACAAGCATGCAAAAAAGGGAAAGATCATTTTGTGAAAAATTATTGTGGTCACAAAATAACTGTGACCAATTATTGTAGGCACAAAATAATTGTAACCAGTTATTGTGATCAATTATTTTGGAATTAGGATGTGTGTTTAAAGAAATAAAATGTGTGTCAATAATTCTGAGAAGAGCAGTTAGGGAAAATGTGACTATAATTCATACCTATAACTACAAACTTCATTTATTCCTGTTGTATCTTAAAATGAATGCTGTGCAGTTATTTCTATCTGACAAGCATGGATGGATACTGGCCAAACATGCATTCACTCCAAATACAGCTTGCTGATTACAAAAATAATTTTAAAGAATAATTTAGAAAACATACAAGTGAGTACTATACTTCGCAAAAAATCTTGCTCAATGAGTATTTGAATAAACAGTGAAAAAAAAAATCTACCCCACAGTTAATTATGTTTTCAAAACAAAATAATGTTTTAAAATGCTAGAGCAAAGAGGAAAAGAATGGCCTTCATGGAGCTCTCAAGCTCTCTATGAGAGTCTCTGCAGGAAGAGCCATTCTACTAAAATGGCAACCTAAACCATCCCACAAAATTCTCATTTTCACTACCATGTTTTAATTTTCTCCATAAAATTTATCACAGCTGGCATAATATATATGGTAGCTGATATGGTTTGGCTGTGCACCCACCCAAATCTAATCCTGAACTGTAATTCCCACAATCCCAATGTGTCCAGGTAGGAACCCGGTGAGAAGTAACTTAATTATAGGGCGGGTCTTTCCTGTGCTGTTATTGTGATAGTAAGTCTCACAAGATCTTATGGCTTTAAAAACAAAACTTTGCTTGCACAAGTTCTCTCTTTGCCTGCTGCCATCCATGTAAGATGTGACTTACTTCTCCTTGCCTTCCACTATGGTTGTAAGGCATCCCCAGCCATGCGGAACTCTAAGTCCAATAAACCTCTTTCTTTGGTAAATTGCCCAGTCTCAGTTATCAGCATCGTGAAAACGGAGTAATAAGGTAAACTGATACCAGTAGAGTGGGGTGCTACTGAAAAGATACCCGAAAATGTGGAAGCAACTTTGGAACTGGGTAATAGGCAGAGGTTGGAACAGCTTGGAGGGCTCAGAAGAAGAGAGGAAAATGCAGGAAAGTTTGGAACTCCCTAGAGACTTGTTGAATAGCTTTGACCAAAATGCTGATAATGATATGGACAATGAAATCCAGCCTGAGGTGGTCTTAGATGGAGGTGAGGGATTTGTTGGGTACTCGAGAAAAGGTGACTCTTGATGTTTTGGCAAAGAGACTGGCAGCATTTTGCCCCTGCCCTAGAGATTTGTGGAGCTTTGAACTTGAGAGAGATGATTTAGGGTATCTGGCAGAAGAATTTCTAAGCAGCAAAGCATTCACGATGTGACTTGAGTGTTGTTAAAGGCATTCAGTTTTATAAGGGAAGTAGAGGATAAAAGTTTGGAAAATTTGCAGGCTGACAATATGATAGAAAGGAAAATCCCATTTTCTGAGGAGAAATTCAAGCCAGGTGCAGAAATTAGAGGGTTCAAGCAGATAAATGAAGTTACGTGACTTATAAAAGGATCATTGGATGCTTTGTGGAGAATAGATAGTACTGAGGCAAAGGTAGAACAAGAAGACCAAGCAAAAAATGGTATAATCAAGAGGTGATGCTTATTTGAAGCTGGCAGTGGCAGTGGAAGTAGCAGGCAGTGGACTTCAATCTTTAGCATCTGAGGCAAAGACAACAAACAGCATTATAGGGAATGTTCAACCAGCTCCCACAATTACAGAAGATCAGATCCCTGTAACAAATCCCTTAATAAAAAGGAGAGAGGAGTGTGGGGGGACAGGAATAGAAGATGGGGAGGTAGAGGGAATATTTAAGTGTATATTTATAATACATATTACATGTATGTATCTCTCCTCATAGTTCTACTCTCTGATTGGATCCTGAATGATACAGGAAGTGAGGTAATAAAATAAAGATAATCTAATCACTGACTTGCTGGGAGTAGAGAAGTCTAAAGGAGATGGAAGAACTAAGCATGACTGGATTGGATGACTGGATGGATGATGGTGGCATTCATGACTCATGTAGTTTTGTTGAAGCTTTTTACTTTTTAACTGCATATCTTCACCTTGCTATAGGTAAAAATTATCTAAAGATTTCATGAAAATTTTAGTTGAATATAGAATTTAATATGTATACACTCAGAGAGTGAATTAATAGTAAGTATAACCCTTCCTTAGGTGGATATTCACATTATATATAAATACTTAAGGATCCTCTAAAGATGCAATAAATTCATGAAAATTCTAGGGCATAGCCGGGCGCGGTGGCTCAAGCCTGTAATCCCAGCACTTTGGGAGGCCGAGGCGGGTGGATCACAAGGTCGAGAGATCGAGACCAACCTGGTCAACATGGTGAAACCCCGTCTCTACTAAAAATATAAAAAATTAGCTGGGCATGGTGGCGCGTGCCTATAATCCCAGCTACTCAGGAGGCTGAGGCAGGAGAATTGCCTGAACCCAGGAGGCGGAGGTTGCGGTGAGCCGAGATCGTGCCATTGCACTCCAGCCTGGGTAACAAGAGCGAAACTCCGTCTCAAAAAAAAAAAAAAAAGAAAATTCTAGGGCATGTACAGAATAGGCATATATGTCATAACATCAGTAAATACTTGCTGAATAAATGAAAATCAGAGATTTCAGAAGGTGAGTTTTAAAAATGTGTTGCATTCAATATTTTTGCTTGTTTACTATGTAGGATAATTTAAGAGGCACAGAAATTACTATGTTTATTACTAGTCACATTACCATTACTCCAAAATGACAAAGTCCATTTACATTTCTTCAGCTTTCATAGAAATCTATTGAACATTATGTTTTCAAATTTTTGCCAAAAGCCTACGTGGAAATGACCATGTGAGGAATGTTTTGGTATTTTTTATTAAATTGCAATTTGATAATTGTGTTTGTTCAATGTCCTTAACAAGATCTGTGTAGTAAATTCTTCTTAAAGTTCAATGCTAGGCAATATTTATTTCTTCTTATCAATTAGTATGTTTCATTTTAGTAGTTGATAAGAACTATGCAATTTAAATTTCTCTTTTTACCAGAAGTCGAGAGTTAAGTATTCTACAATTTTTTTTTTTTTTTTTTTTTTTTTTAGCTGGAGTCTTGCTTTGTCACCCAGGCTGGAGTACGATGGTGCAATCTCGGCTGACTGTAACCTCCGCCTCCTGGATTCAAGCGAATCTTCCTGCCTCAGCCTCCCAAGTAGATAGGATTACAGGCACCTGCCACCATGCCTGGCTAATTTTTGAATTTTTAATACAGATGGGGTTTCACCATGTTGGCCAGGTTGGTCTCTAACTCCTGACCTCAGGTTATCCACCCACCTTGGCCTCCCAAGGTTTTTTTTTTACTAAATTTTAACAGCTATTCATGCTTAAGGTTTCAGGTTAGTAATTCACTATCCTTACACCTTCCAGTTCCACCATTCTATTCATAAACTAAATGTTGTTCTTTTCTCACTGTTTTTTTTTTTTTAAACATACATCTCTATACTTCATTATAAACTACTTCAAATCTTTTTAGAATGAATACAGATAATTATAGATTGTGAAACAATCTAAATTAAAATTTTCTTAATTTAGCAATTTAGTAATAAAAGCTAAAATTATGTCCGGGTACATAATGTTAACGCTTAAATATGAAGAAAACTCTTGATAAACAATACTCTAACAGAAGAGGTAAATGCTAGGAATGTGTGTTTATTTAATAATCTACTGTCACACTGTAGTGGCAGCATAATGGTTATTAACT